CCATGCATATTTATTAATGACATAATTAAGTTTATGCACATACAAATTAAACTAACATGGTCAACTTTCCGTATCGAGAAATTCCGTCTAAGCTTAATTAATTTTTAATTAATCATTAATTTTAATATATTTAAAAACCATTTCCATAGCCACCGACCCATTGGTTATCATTAACGGCGTGCGCAATACAAAAGCCCTGACAGACCTACGCACTGAAGTGTGCAACGCCTACCCTGTAATATCAAAAATCAAAACCTGACCATGGTCATTTCTAAATCATGTTACATTAAATATTATACAGGGTGACAGTAGACCAGCGCCATGCGATAAACCGTTAGTTAGGGTGCAGGTGTTTTACTCGCCATTTAACGACAAGGCAATCATCTTTATCAAACAAAACGCTCAAGGTGGTGCGACTGGTTTATGGGACCTGATGCTGCCCCAAGATGGTCAAGTTAAAAATTTGATCGAGGTCGATTTTGTGCCCTGGGGTCAGGCTAAACGTGAGCTGGTAGAAGGAAAGCAAGTGTATACCTGTGCCAATGGTGATACCGATTGTTTGGGCACCCGAGTGCACGTATGTAGACGTTTTAAATATTTTTTATTGTGTTAATACGTAGATTTTAATAGTCTTTAAAAATTTACTACCTAGTTAAATGTAATTTGTTAATTACTATGTTAAACACAATTAAGTTTAATATACTTCAGATTATATCTATCATATAAAATAAAGTAGTTTAAAATTAGGCTTCGTAAAAAGTTACGAATAAATAAATAACGTAATTAATTTTTTGAATATTGTAGGCCTGCATCGCCCGTAACCACGTGTCGCTGTACCAGAATCACCACGAGTTCTTCATGGTGGTGTGCACCGGTAACCAGGATGATTGGAAAACAAATCCCCTGGGACACGTGATCGCGTGCTCAAACACCATACCCGACGCCCCCGACTATCCCGATGAGGGCGTGGGTCTGGTCATATGCGGCCAAAAGGACAACCCCGATGGTAACGCCTACTTGGACGAGGTGCTCGCTGCGACCGATACACAATACGGTGGTATTGCTGATGGTGAGTTATTTTTAAAAATAAATTATTTATTCAGTTACAATTATAAAATACATATAAAACTTGTTATGTGTTAATAATAAACTGAAATCTAAATCAATCTAAATTGTTAGGTTTGTAGTTATGAAAACAAACTTACTTAACTATAATAATTTAGTATTATTAAAGTAAATAATATGAGTTACTTTTTAAAATTTATAAAATTATTATAAATTAAACATTTTAAAATATGTTCTTACTCATTAGTTAATGATCCACTGGTATTAATTAATGGCTTTAGGAATTACAAAGCTCTCACTGATTTAAAAACAGAAGTGTGCAAGGCCATACCTGTAAGTTACATTTAATTATAATATAAAAGAGTTTAAATTAATAATTAAATAATTATGATACCTTGCTAACAATAGGCTGCTCAGAGGCCATCTTGGGGCAGCATCAGGTCCCATAAACCAGTCGCACCACCTTGAGCGTTTTGTTTGATAAAGATGATTGCCTTGTCGTTAAATGGCGAGTAAAAC